AGATATAATTCGCGTACCATACAATTCACCCCTTTAAAGTATACGATTCAGTGGGGGTTAGCGTATTCGCAGATATGCTCAGCTGTCACCACAGTCAATTTTAGAACATGTTTTTCACCTCAGAAAGAACCCTCCTCCATCTCCTCCCGCACAGACCCAGGCGACCACTCATCACTTTCTGTCTCCGTAGACTTCCTTGTTCGCGACATTTCATATACATGGAATCACATAATATATAGTCTGTTGTGAGTGGCTTCTTTAACTTAATATCGTGTCTTCAAAGTTCATCCATATCAATACTTCATTCTTTTTTACAGCTGAATAATATTTCATTGTATGCATATGCCATAGTTTATCCATTTGTCAATGATGTACATTTGAGTTGCTTTCACCATTTGGCTATTATAGATAATGCTGCCTTAAGCTTTCATGTACAAGTTTTGTGTATTGTGGAGTTTGAGAAGAACCGTGACAGCTGACATATTTTAGCAGGATCACCCTGGCTGTCAAAGCTAATATGAATTAAGTATTATTTCTCTTAAATGTTTAAAATAAACGTGTTATGGTAAACATGCAAGTCCCTAGATGTATTTAAATGACCTATACCCATTATTTACTCACCTACAGTAGACTGAGCCATTATTCTAGTTGTGTTTCTGATGCACATGATCCTACCTTGCAAATAAATGAGCATCTTGGTTTGAATTTTGAGCTAGCTTGCCTATCACCTCACAAGTTAATCAATATTAAAGAGTTCTAGTCCTTGCTGGCACTCTGAGTTAGCGGTGTGAGCTGAGAGGCCAAGAAGCAGATCCACAGGACAGAGTTGTTCTCCTGGCAGAGGAGAACCCCCTGCAGCCACTGGCCCCACATAGCTACTGAGCATCTGACATGTGGCCAGGGCCATTCAACTATGCTACCAGCATAAAATACGTGTAAGGTTGCAAAACCTTAATACCGCAAAAGTATCAAATATCTCATTAATAACTTTTTAAAGCTGATAATGTTTTAGATATATGGGTTAAATCAATATGCTATTAAAATTAATTTTACCTATTTCTTTTTACCTTTTTTAATGTGATTATTAAAACACTTTAAATTACCTAGCAAGTCACATACGTGACTTGTTCTGCATTTCTATTAGATAGTGCTGTTTTACTCATTCAATTTCATTTAATTCTAACAACTCGATAAGGTAGATATTTCTATTATTATCATCAACCTCGTTTTTCAGATGAAGAAATTGAGGTATAGAGAACACCTTGTCTGAAGTTACAGAGCTAGTAAGTGGCAGAGCTGGAATTGAACTCAGATGGTCAGTTTCGAGTCTCTGGACACCTAAGCACTCAGTCCAAATAATATTTTAGGAATATTTATCTAGCTATGATTTTTTTAAATCCCTTACTTATGAATGTCACTTGTAAGGTGGGAAAAATGTGTTTTTACCAAATGGACAATTTGTAAAGTTTTCTGCCTACTGGGAAATACTGTAAATCAAAGCACAGAAAAAATAGTACAAAAGTGAGGAATCATTTAGTTTTATTTTTAGATTTTTGTCATCCAAAGATAGTTAATAAGATTTAAGACAGTGTTGCTCTTTGAATAAATATTATTAACTAGTGACAGCCGTTAGTTTTATCACTATCTGAGATGATAACTAAGTGTTGTTAATAACATATTCTGACAAAATACGTCAGTAACATTAATGTTTTTTATAAAGAGTACGGTTTAGGGTTTAGAAAACAGTTGACATTTTGAATTTTTCTAAATAAATTCAAAGCTGGGAGGGGACTCATTGATATTATGAACAGGTACTTTATAGATTTCTTCCTAAACAAGTAACACTAGAAACTTGGACCTTCTCCTGTAACCACGAGTTAGTTCTCTGAATTATTTACAGAAAATTAGGATCCTGTGACAGAATTTGCATTTCAAAGGAAGAGGAATCCAGAAGAGACTCGTCTTCACTTATGGGCATTTCAGGATCAGTCTGGAAACTGCTGGAACCAGCCCCATCTTTGTAGAGATTTTGGGTGGGGGAGGGGAGCACTTACTTTCCTCCTGTGACCAAAGTGTTAGACACCATTTCAAGAGCTGTGATGAAGTGTATGTACCGCCTGTCACTGACAAGCATTTAGTGAGAGTTGATTATGTGTAAGGTTCTGTGTAAGGTGCTAGAAAGATGAAGACATTCTGTATCTTTAAGGATCTCACCGTCTAATGGGAAAAAAGCATATAAACAAAGAACTCTAATAAGATGCTTTTTTAAAATTTTTGAATTTATGGACGTGGTTCCATAGTGTAGCGGTTAGCACGTCTGCTTCACACGCAGAAAGTCCTGGGTTCACACCCCAGTGGAGCCACAGTCCACCGTCTACAGCCATGCCACCCTGAACAAGCCCGATCCCAGTCTGATCTCGGAAGCTAAGCCGGGTCGGTCCTGGTTAGTACTTGGATGGGAGACCACATAGGAAGACTAGGAGCTGTATGCATAAATAATAATTTCAAAAAAAATTTTTTAATTTAACCCATGATTCAAATCTAGATGTGTCCCCTGATTCCAATTTATTTGTGCACTGGAACATATGTATATTTTTTAATTAAAAATAGCTTTTCATTATTAATCAATGCATAATCCTTGTAGGAAAAAAATTTAAATGCAGCTAAGCAAAATGAAGATAATGAAAATATCCATACACCTACCATCCCACCATAGGAAATGTCGATATCTTGGTGTATAGCTTCTTAGACCTTTTTTTATTAATTTATACACATATATTTTTAAACCAGAGGTACTTTATTATACATGTACTTTCAATGAAAATACTTGTATATGTTATTTTTAATAACTGAAAAGCATTCTGTTATCTGATCGTGCCACAGTTTGTTTAACCAGTTAGTTTGTCGTTCACTCAACAACTGCTTATTGAGCACCTGCTGTATTCCAAGAGCTTTCCTGAGACTGGATATACAGTGGTGAACAAAACAAATATTGTTTACTATCGATGTGTATAATTTTTTCACTCTTATAAACAGTGCCGTAATAAACATCATTTTATATACATCTTTACACACTTGGCCAATTGTTCACTTGGGATAATAATTGAGCACATAAAACATGCCATTCTGCTGACTTCATTACATATATAATCTCATTTAATCTTACCAAGAGGTAATAATTTCAAATGAAGAAAGTAGAACATGGAAAAATTAGGTAATTTGCCTTGGGTCCCATAACAGGGAAATGGAAAGCCGGAATTTAAGCTCAGATTTGCGTGGTCCTAGATTCCATGCACCGCCAGCAATGTTGACAGGAAATTGCTACATCAGAGAGTATACACGCTTATAGGATGCTAAATTACTAATCTGCCGGCCAGAAAAGTTTCACCAGTTTATACCTCACTCTTACCACCCCTGCCAACACTGAGGGTGGCTACTCCTGATTCCGAAAAATAACTTAAATTTTAAAATCATCAATTTGTAGGGTCGGGCCTGGTTAGTACTTGGATGGGAGGCCACCTAGGAAGACCAGGTGCTGTAGGTGTAAAAAAATAATAATAAATAAATAAAAATAAAAATCATCAATTTGTATGGAGAAGGTTAGTTTTACTTCAACTCAGATGCAGAGAAAGAAGAGAGAAGCAGATAAACAGTGTGAAGCTAAGAGACCAGTAATGAGAGAGACGGGAATAAAGATGAGAGAGTAGAGAGGTGGCTACTGTCTGCTTCCCAGGCAGCCTCCAGCTCAATTCCTGGCCCTCAGAGGCACTGATCTCCTCACGGCAGTTCAGTGACAGGCCCGCTCACCCCTCCCCCATGCCATCCACTACATTTTTTCTTTTGCTTAAGTTCCTTCGAATGGGTTTCTATTTCTTGCAGCCAGAATGCTGCATTTTAGGAAAATGTTCTTACAAGTTTGCAAGATAGGCCTTTTTTGCGTCGTATGTAAGATCGCATACATATTTGCATATTTGTTTCAGGATTTGTTGGGTTAAACAGTAAAAAGTGAAAAGCTCAAAAATGCTGTGTAGTGATACAAAAGTGACTCATTTACTTCTTTATTTCCTACATTATCTACATTTCTATGATTTTTATTATCACAAAAAAATGTTCTACAAATGTTTAAAAGTCGTCGATGTGATGGCGTTGGGATTATTAAATAGTAAAGTATTGCGTTGATCGGCCTCAGCACAGGCCTGCATTTCCATTCCTCTGTCCCTACTGAGTGACGTGTTCCTTCCCTCGGATTGTCATTAGAGCTTCTGGGCTGGAACGGGACCGTTATTTATAAATCGCATTCTGACCGTCTTTGGTCTTTTGGGAGGCAGTGCAGCGCAGCCGTCACGAGCAGCGGCCCCAGTGCCAGACTGCCTGTTGAAGTCCCGGTTTTGCCACGGGTCCACTTGTACGACCTGAGGCACATTATTTAACTTTTCTGTGCCTCAGTTTTCTCAATGTAAAATAGAGGTCATAATAGCTCTTTCGTGTCATTGTTATGCTGATTAGATGATATAATATATGTAAACTACTTAGAAGAGCACCTAGCACAGGGTAAGCACTCAATAAATGTTACTTGCTGCTGCTATTATGATTATTTGGGGGAATAAAGTAAAAAAGACTTTAGATATTCATCATCGCCGCCTCCGTCGTCACCCATACTTCCAAATCACTTGTTTTGAAAACCCGTACTTTTACATGATTCAAGAGCAGGTTTATGTTAGTATCCCAAGTAGGAATATACTGAGGCAGGGATAAAATTTACTATAAAGGTAATCCGACTGCCTGATGACCTCTGTGGTCTGTGAGGAGGAAAAAATTTAGTGCCTCAATTTCCATTTGTGCTCCTTAAAATTTTCCCCTCGAAGCCCCCAGAGTCAGTACCTCTGTAATTAATAGACTTGCACAGGGTCATCAGCATCCAGGCTTGCTACATTTAGGTTATTTGGGGCTCTGCTTCTTGTATTTTTTTTTTTTTTATGTGGTCACCATTCTACTTCTAGAGTTGTGGGTGCTCTGACAAATGGACCTGGTCTCAAATGTTCCCAGTGGTGAGAAGGTACATCTGCAGCGGTTTCCATTCCCAGAGGGATAACCTCCCTTCAGACCTCTGTGTAAGTGACCGTACAGGCAGCTCTGTCCCTGAGGGTGTTTTGCCTGAGGACTATGAAGGGAATCCGTTCTCCTCCCATGATACTCCAGCGAATGAGATGCACGATGCCGGAGACATGCAGAATCCCATTGGTTGCTTTTTTGTCCTATGTCCTCTCTGAGAGGAAATAGGGCCAAGGGCTCCTGCCTCATATGTTTTGCTTTGCTTTTTGTTTTGTTTTGTTTTGTTTTCATAAATTAGGCATCCACTATTGAGATGGGAACTGGGAAAGAGCAGCTACATTTTTTAATAGGCAGTTACATTGTTTGTAAGAAAGTGCCACAGCATAAAGTAACCTCAGTGGAATTGGTCATAATCAAGGAAATATTTTATATCTTAATTCACTGTTTTCCAAGGTCTGTTCCATAGAAATTTTGTTTGGGGAGATAGCAACTGTATCTTTCTCTTGGAAAGTCACAATTCATGTTAGCATGTTAAAGATTCTGAGAAACTCCAGATAAAGAAACCCATTCAGCTTTTTATTTTGTCTTTACTGTATTTTAATATCATATTTTATATTCATAAAAGAATATATGTAACATGTTAGAAAGTAAGCCAAGAACTGGAAGGTTGCCAGTAATGTGGATCTGTGTTTCTAATTAATATCTCTTATCTCCCTACAACAGGTAATCACAATCCGAAATTTTGTTTAGTTCCCTTGCTCTAGTGGGGGAGGGTTGTATTTTTGTCACTTACCTATGTATTTCTAAACAGTGCATTATTTAGTTTTGCTCATGTTCGACCTTTATAAAAATAATGCACTTTTTTCACTCAACATCGTTTCTAAGACTCCTCTGTATAGTTCCACGTGACCGTGTTCACTGGTTTTTCATTTCAGTGCTGAGTAACATTCCACCGTGTGGACACACCCAGCTGACTTCTCCATTCACCTGTCCATAGACGTTTGAGTTGTTGGTTTTCTGTTTTGTTTACTATTACTATTGTTTCTGTCAAAGAGAGGCAAGAAGTGTGAGTCAAGGATAGTGGCAGAATGTTATGATTACGTCGTTTAGGAGCAAGAGGGAAGATATTTACTGAGTAACTGCTTTATACAAGGCAGGGGCTAAAATACAAAGAAAAGATGTCCTGGTCTTTGCTGATCTGTGGTTCAGTGGAGGAGTCAAATTTGTTTTCTCAAATTAGGACACGATTAGTCTCAGGGACTCATGAA